ATCTCAATTCTGAAAGAGTGTACCAGTGGATCTGATTCTGGTAGGAAGAAATTGAGTTTGTTTTCACATCACCTTAAATAATACTCTTATTTGTGTTCAACCAATGAGGGAAGGAAGAAAGAAGGATGTCAGAGATTATCTGCTTTCCCCATCAACTGGCATTAAACCGAGTGCAGATTGCTGCAGTCCTTGAATAAATGGCGGTTGTTATCATGGGGCAAGACTGCCCCCTTGTGGCTTCAGAATCATTTCTGCTGTCGCTTTGCCCTCAGATAAAGATCCTGAGATAAAATGAAAATCAGCTCAAAAGGCCTCTTTTTTTTCACATCCTCACTCAGATATCTTTGAGAATCGGGACATTTTTGAGAGCGGCCGTTGGGTTTAATCATTCGCTCTGGAGAAAATTAGTAATTTGCTATTTGTAGACAGCTGAAAATCTTCAGACATACTAGTAGACCTTCCGCTCTTGAAGCTCTCTGTATGTATTTGCATGTAGAGCTCATTGTGCTTTATCTCACCGCTCTTATCCTCTTGAGACCCGGCAAAACATTTTATATATGTTTATATTTAATAATGATATTTCATTCATAAGTTATGCTGCATCCTTGTTAGAGGACATCGGGACTCAGTTAAAAAAAATAATAACAAAATGACATGAATAGACATGAATAAACATGCATAGGCAAAAACAATTGATTTTTTTAAAATCACCAATACATCAGATATCTTTGAGAATCGGGACATTTTTGAGAGCGGCCGTTGGGTTTAATCATTCGCTCTGGAGAAAATTAGTAATTTGCTATTTGTAGACAGCTGAAAATCTTCAGACATACTAGTAGACCTTCCGCTCTTGAAGCTCTCTGTATGTATTTGCATGTAGAGCTCATTGTGCTTTATCTCACCGCTCTTATCCTCTTGAGACCCGGCAAAACATTTTATATATGTTTATATTTAATAATGATATTTCATTCATAAGTTATGCTGCGTCCTTGTTAGAGGACATCGGGACTCAGTTAAAAAAAATAATAATAAAATGACATGAATAAACATGCATAGGCAAAAACAATAGATTTTTTTTAAATCACCAATACATTTTTAGTTTTCAGAATTGTTCTTTTTTTTTTTTACCAAACTTTGTATAAAGATAATTCTAAACTACGTTATAATAGAATTATTTGATATACCATTTTTCTTTATGCAAAATGTCCGTACAATGGCCATAAACAGGTTTTCTTATTATATATAATGTATCTATAAACTAAATCTAATTTGCATATTAATGTGTTTTTGGGGCAACATGTAATGAAAAAAGAAGTGTAATGATGGGAGTAATAATTGACAAGATTTTCATAATAATATATAATATTTCATAGGAATATTGAAATATAATTTCTTTCCCTATGCATTTGTTGTGTCTCCCAACATGCGTAATAAACATGCTTTTAGTCCCGGTGTCCTCATATGAGGACATGTATGAAATCAACGTCCTGTTTCGTAACAGAAAGTCATATTTTGATTTGAAATTTGACCTGAGATGTTGATTTATGACACACAGATTAAAAATTAATCAGATTTAAATGATAATTGCTAAATATTATCCTATTTCCATAAGAGTGTCACTAAATTAATATCAGACATATTTGAAGACCAAGGAGAGGGAGTGTTCATGGTGAAACATCCAAAGTATCTCTGAAAAGCCCTGAATGTGCTCTGTACAGGACATCCAGACTTAAAACTGTGGCATGTATAGTCTCAGAGAAATTCACTAAAATATAATGTCCTCATACGAGGATGCAGGGTCTCAGGAGGTTATGCAACCTCCTCTTCTCTATCTATCCATCAAACCGCTAGTCAAAGTTTTCCACTTGACATTAGACTATATTCTGTCTCTGAAAACTATACCAGCAGACAGGTCTGTTCTCACTCCACATGAGAGTTATATTAAATAGCAGAGAAAGGACAGCACTGACAGCAATTGGGACTTTAATGGAAATGTGTAGATATAAATTCAGTAATGTTTTTGAGACAAGTGGGAGCATCTCAGAGAGTCATAAGTTATTTTAACTTCTTCTTTATTTGGTTGGAATATTTAAAGTCAGGTCCTGAAAACCAGATCAGAGCATTTATAAATATTGTGAGGATTTTCATTTTGATGTCGGATTTTTGAAGTAGTGGCAGTGGGAACGATGGAAATAAGTGCAGTTCTAATGAAAATATTAACAAATGTGCACATCATTCAAATATGTGGAACAGCATTGCTAACATTTCACCCAACAGGCTTTGATCAATACCAGCACCTCTGTGAATTTTTAAATGTAAAAATGTCCTCCTGGAAAGAAGACAGGGGTTGTGGCTCATGAATAAATTCCTTTGTTAATTTGCACCTTATAGTGTTAACCTTTGACCTTGACAGATCCACACAGAAGCTGTCAGCAGGTGAATGGCAATCTCTTTACAGATCAATGCAGAGCAGTGCAGCCAGATTTATAGCCTAATTCTTTGGAAAAGAGCCTGAAATAAAATAACTTGTCCATTAAATATAACATGTGACTCTCTTGATAATCTCTTTGTCTATAAATCCTTTGTGTGGATGATTCAGCATCTCAGGAAGAGACTCATTATGAACTGAAGTAGTGACCAAATTTGTGCTAGTTTAACGTGATCTATAATTTGATAATGCACACACTGATTTCACCCAACAGGCTTTGATCAATACCAGCACCTCTGTGAATTTTTAAATGTAAAAATGTCCTCCTGGAAAGAAGACAGGGGTTGTGGCTCATGAATAAATTCCTTTGTTAATTTGCACCTTATAGTGTTAACCTTTGACCTTGACAGATCCACACAGAAGCTGTCAGCAGGTGAATGGCAATCTCTTTACAGATCAATGCAGAGCAGTGCAGCCAGATTTATAGCCTAATTCTTTGGAAAAGAGCCTGAAATAAAATAACTTGTCCATTAAATATAACATGTGACTCTCTTGATAATCTCTTTGTCTATAAATCCTTTGTGTGGATGATTCAGCATCTCAGGAAGAGACTCATTATGAACTGAAGTAGTGGCCAAATTTGTGCTAGTTTAACGTGATCTATAATTTGATAATGCACACACTACATTCTCAAAATGCCAGAGTTTCTAAGAATAAAGAAAATGTTATGAATGTTATAAAACTGCAAACTCATATTAAGAAGCTATAGCTTGTAAGAAACACAGCAAATGTGAAATACTAACATTTCTCTATGGCAGCTACTGTATATGCAGTTATTTTAATCACTAGTTTTATATATAGCCTACTGTGTAATAGAACACAGTTTAAATGAGCACAGTACATTCAATAAGTAGTGTAAGCAAACATAATCGAAGTCTTGCTTTTTCAATAGACTGCTAGGAATGATTCTTTAACCCTTAAATGTATGAATGTTTCGCCAATCATTATTACATTTAAAGGGTCTTTAGCGACCCGAACCTATATATAGCTACAGCACGGATGGATCTCTAACTGCTGCAATAGCAAAAAAAAAACTCGCAATCTCTTTACAGATCAATGCAGAGCAGTGCAGCCAGATTTATAGCCTAATTCTTTGGAAAAGAGCCTGAAATAAAATAACTTGTCCATTAAATATAACATGTGACTCTCTTGATAATCTCTTTGTCTATAAATCCTTTGTGTGGATGATTCAGCATCTCAGGAAGAGACTCATTATGAACTGAAGTAGTGGCCAAATTTGTGCTAGTTTAACGTGATCTATAATTTGATAATGCACACACTGCATTCTCAAAATGCCAGAGTTTCTAAGAATAAAGAAAATGTTATGAATGTTATAAAACTGCAAACTCATATTAAGAAGCTATAGCTTGTAAGAAACACAGCAAATGTGAAATACTAACATTTCTCTATGGCAGCTACTGTATATGCAGTTATTTTAATCACTAGTTTTATATATAGCCTACTGTGTAATAGAACACAGTTTAAATGAGCACAGTACATTCAATAAGTAGTGTAAGCAAACATAATCGAAGTCTTGCTTTTTCAATCGACTGCTAGGAATGATTCTTTAACCCTTAAATGTATGAATGTTTCGCCAATCATTATTACATTTAAAGGGTCTTTAGCGACCCGAACCTATATATAGCTACAGCACGGATGGATCTCTAACTGCTGCAATAGCAAAAAAAAACTATCTTGATATTTTAAGAACAATTAGGCTACAGAAGAATAAAATAAAGCATATTTCGTTACCTTTTGAAACTTAAAATGATTCAATTTGAGCAGATGATTTTACCATCGCTCTCATCATCAGAGCGCACTTCCATAGTACATGCAGAATCTGGCTCATATTCACGATCTCAGCCATATTCTCAAAACTATCGTTTTCAATTACTTCATATTCAATATTTTGATCACTGGCAGCTTATTCACCACATCCAGCATCAAATGGCAGTGACATTTATATTTCATTGCATATAGTAATTGCTCTGCAGTAAAGACATTCAAACCAGTTCAATTTTTGCTGATGATATTCGTTTGTTTTATGCCTGCGGTAATTATGAGTATCATTGTGTTTCAAACAGTGCCACCTTGAGGAAAAAATATGCATTGCACATATTGAGTCATCAGATATGTAAATATAGTTGCGCAGGAAAAAATACTTATACATTTACATACCTTGGGTCTCTAGCGACCCTATACAGTTTTTACAAAAAAATTATCAGAAAACTGGCATTATTTTATATTTTACTATTTTTTTCTTGTTATATTGTTTATAATTAATAGATTGAGGAATACTAAGAAAGTTGATGTCTGACTTTAAAAAAAATGAAGGAGGGAGAGGGTAGAGAATGATGCATTGATGAAGGTATGCATTTAAGGGTTAAAATATATTTGAAGTACAAATATAGTAGCCTACATACAGTACAAAATATATTTGACGTACAAATCTTCAAATGTATTTTTAAAAAAAACTTTATTCATATTGTTGGACTATATCTGTATCTATTGATCGTAGTGTGTCAGTTGTATTATACTTTTATCGTTAAGGAGGTAATAATGTCAGGAGGAACTCGACTAGAAAACGCCAATCCTCTGATATTCCAGCGATCGGAGGAAAGACTCCTGACTGCCACTGATGAAGATGAGGATCTAGCGGATCCCATCAATGACAGGGAGATCTTCGATATCCTTTCAAAGCACGAAACAAACTACTTTGACATGTCAGCCTTGTTGCTGTAAATTATTTGCGATAATGACAGTTGTACTTACAATTACAAACTGTGTTAAACTCAGTCAGAAGCCTCATTTACGTTCATGCTTTTTGAATGGTTTGAGTCGGACCTTAACATCTTTACATCTGATCAGATCGATCAGTGACCCTGAGCACCCACTGTCCCTCGAAGAGCTCAATGTCGTGGAACAAATGCGCGTCAATGTGAGTCTGAGCTGTCTGTCTGTCTGTCTGTCGTTCTATCTTTCTAACATGTTTTTGAGTAGGTGAATGATGAGGAGAGCACTGTGTCTGTGGAGTTCACACCGACCATCCCACACTGCAGTATGGCCACACTCATTGGCCTGTCCATCAAAGCAAAGCTTCTGCGCTCCCTTCCTGACAGATTTAAGGTCATTTTAGTGAGCAGCCAAACACATTTAAGCTTACATTAGGCTTTGGGATTCCCATCTAAGTTGTTTGTTATTTTCTTTTTGTTGTTAGATTGATGTTCACATCACGCCTGGCACACATGCCTCAGAGGATGCAGGTAAATGCCCGATGTACAATGCAAAACAAGTTTAAAGGGATACACTACACCCAAAACAGAAAATTCTGTACGAGTTTGTTTCCTCTGCTGAATACATAATAATTTTGAAGAATGTGGTTAAACAACAGTTGATGGTCCTTGTTGACTTCCATAGTATAGAAAAAAAATACTATGGAGGTCAGTGGAGACCATTAACAGTAAATAAGTTGAGTAGATGACAGAATTTTTCATTTTTGGCTAAACTATCCCTTTAACCCTGTAAAGTCAAAGACATGTGAAATAGAATGAAAATGGAACAGTTAATGGCACCTTTAGACACAATCTAAAACAAAAAAAAATAAAAGTTTGCAAATGTGTTTTATGTTTCGTATCATATATCAAGGCTTTTATGGCCTAATTTATAGTCATATAGTGATAATATAGAGCTCACAAACTTGAGGAAGAAAAACATGTCTATTTAATTTAAAGGCCCAAACTGAGAAAAAAAAAATGCAATTTGGTGCATATGTTGTTATTTATATGGCCATAATGTAAGATCGGTTTCTAAAAGCTCTTGTTATAAATCAACGAGATCTTTATAAAATTGAGTATTGTGTGCATATGAATATCAGTTATCACTCTATATACACTCAATATATATGTCTTATATGTCTCAATATATATGTTACATTTCAAACATTTTGGGGGGGCAAAACATAATGAAATGCAATTTAGAAACCTCAAAAGTGTTTTATTTTATACATATTTTATACATATTTTTTTTAATGATTTTTCTAACAAATGTGTGGATAATCAAGCAAATCTAAGTTGCTTCCATCCAGTAGGCTAAATGTTCATCTTTAAATTAACACTATAAAAATGATTCTTATGTTTACTTTATAAAAATCTGTATATTTCACAGAAAAAAGACCCGTTTCACGACCTAAAGGTGTATGGTTGTAGAAATACACTTAGGGGTCCTGTTACTTACTAATAAAAGTATAAATTATAAATCAGATGACAAAACTGAGTGCAACTGGTTTGCCAGCAACAAGGTTTGATCACGTTAGAGGCCTTAGAAATTCATGTATAAAACATTATACAGTTGGCTTTATATAGTTAAGGTCAAGAATATTTTTCTATTACACAGCACCCTGTTTTTATTTTAAAATAAAAATCCACTTGTGTTTTTCTCCTCTAGTCAATAAGCAGCTTGCAGACAAAGAGAGAGTGGCAGCAGCTCTGGAAAACTCTCAGCTGCTGGAGGTGGTCAACCAGTGTCTGTCCACCAGAACCATGTGATCCCAAGAATCCCGCCGCTGTCATGTAGTCCTTTGACAGATCAGGACACGGTTTTTCGCATTTTTAGGCCTATTTTGCCTTCTTTTTTTTCACCATTGCATAAATTAAATAGCCAAAATGTGCTTTTTAAATAAAAAAAATCAATTACAAAACAACAATTTTAAAATATTTACTTAACACTGACTGAACATTTTTTTTAACATTCTAGCAGACATTATAACATCAAAGCAAAATGTAACTTAAAATTAATAAGTTAGTAAAATAGCCTAATATGTTTTGGCCATTTTTGAGACTTGAATCAGGCATGTATTTTTTACTGTACAAATAAAGGCAGCCTTGCTGAGCAGAAGATAATTCTTTTAAAACATTAGAATATATTACAGATCCCAATTTGAACACTGTGTGAATGTTATAATAAATGTATTAATAGAGCTGTTGTAGGGTAATTATTATTATCATTATTATTGTCTTGCTTTTTTATTTTATTTGACAGAACAACAGTAAAATTACAATACTATTATTTATGAATGTTGATGGAGTTGTTGCTTTTTCTCGGCTTTTATTTTGGCAGAAACCCACAGGAAGATCTCAGTGCTTCTTTTTGTTAACAACAGCATGCAGCTTTATAAATGATTCTCATTACGCATTTGGGATGGTGTTTGTCGCACGTATCACATTGTCACATGCCTTTTCACAAAAACAAAAATTCACAAAAATGTTACTGAGCAACTGACGAGTAACATAGTTTCAGCACAGGTTTTCCTCGCACTTTGAACCCTGGCGCCTTGAGCTCGTGCAGCGCTGTCAGAATACATGCAATTCGTGCGTGCATTCGAAAATAGAACATTCTGCAGTTTATTTACTAATCGTTTGAGGCGATTCAATCATCACACCTAACCACCAGCATTAGCCAGCTCTTCTCATCGGAGACGGCATGCAGCACTAAACAGTCTCTCGCTGTCGGTGCTTCGTGCTTGTAATGATTTCTGCGTCTTTCTCTGATAGTTTTAAATACTTTCACACTGCCGATATGTTTGCTGCATTAGTGCGTGCCTCTATCTGATCGCTTTAGTCATTGTTCGGTACATATTATTCGGCCTTTTCGCTTATTCGAACATTCGGTGCATCCCTAAATTTATGTGGAAACAGCATTTTTCCTGTTTGACAGTACATGGATACAGAAAGAAACGTTATTCTGTAATTATGCCATATATTTGTGAATATGTACAAAATTAGTTTACTTTTAGAAGGCTGTGGACTTTTCAAAGAAAATTCATGTTGGTCAAAATTGAGAAAGTGTACAACAGAAATAACTTGCACTGCTGTGTTTTTTTACATCTTGTTTTTGCCTATAAAAAAAATATGTGAAATCAGTTTTGTTAGTTTAATTTTAAAAAAAAAGTTCAATCACTTAACCATAAGCAAACAGCATTTTTCTACAGCCAATTGTAGACCAGGGGAGCGCTTTGAAGTTTCAGCTATTTGTGAATAAGCGTAATTAATAGGTAACAGTTTTGAAAAGCTAAAAAATACATAGGCTTAATATATGTATGTGGTATAATTCATTTCTACAGATTATGGTAAATGGCTTTACTGGTATATGGATACATCATAAAACATCATTACTTTTACACTAGACACTTCATAATACAGGCAGGGTAACTTCTCTAGAATTAGCTATTGTTAACCTTCACGTTCAAATCAAACTAGGGAATGACAAGAATCACATTTTCTTGTGATTTCTTTATGAAAATTATAGTCTTTAATACATGACCTGTGTTATAAAGTTATGTTTAAAACGTGTTTGTCTTATAAAGTCTGAAGGGTAATAGCCTGCCTAATGACGATACACAGATACTATAATAAGCACAATAGTTTGCAGAGTCTGTTTAGATTACACTTGCTTGGCTTTCAAGTCACAAAAGTGCTTTCACTAGCATGCATTAAAAATGCATGATAGATACTATTTCATGTAATAGAACACTTATTCAATAGTTTTTTTTTGTTGTTGTTTTTATATAAATTACCAGACTAGCTAACATTGCAAGTCTTTTTTGGTCCAGTCATTAAAATAAATACCAAACTTAAAATATGGGGGGGGGGGTAATTTTTAGCATCATTACTCCAGTCACATGATCCTTCAGGAATCATTCTAATACTCTGAATTGCTGCTCAAAAAAACTTTTATTATTATTATTATTGTTATGTTGAAAACAGCTGAGTATAATTTTTTCGGGTTTATTTGATGAATAGAAAATTCAGAAGAACAGCATTTATCTGAAATAGAAATCTCCTTGCTAAATAAAAGTATTAATTTCTATACTTTCTCCCCCTCCCCTGACTCCAAGCTTTTGAATGGTATAATGTATAAAAGCTTTTTATTTCAGATAAATGCTGATCTTTGGATCTTTCTATTCATCAAGGAATCCTGAAAAACTGAATGATTTCTGAAGGATCATGTGACACTGAAGACTGGAGTAATGATGCTGAAAATCCAGCTTTGCATCACAGGAATAAATTACGTTTTAAAACATATTCAAAGTTATATTAAATAGTAACAATATTTCACAATATTACTGGTTTTGCTGTATTTTGGATCAAAGAAATGCAGGCTTGGTGAGCAGAAGTTCTTTGAAAAACATAAAAAATCTTACTGTTTAAAAACATTTGACTGGTAGTGCATAAGTCATTTCCATACCTAAAATACATATTTTACAGTCACTGTTATGCACGTTGTGTGTACACAGTGTGCCTGTGATTGCGAAATAGGAAGTGAAAGTGAACGGCGCCAGTGCTCATTCTAAAGCGATTTCAATGACGCGCATATTGATAGCGGCTCCCTGGTGCACGAAAATTATATACAATATTAGAACGTTTGCGGGAGTGTAACACACGCGTTGCAGAGGCGGGTGGTAAGAAAACAAAAAAGAAAAATAGATGGAGCTTTATTGAATATCGCACCAATTTTGGGATTGGCTGTTATGGGGCCAAGGTGAGCCAAGCTCGTGATTGGGTGGGCCAGGCTGCACACTGAATGTGTAATATGACACATTTGCTTTGAACTATTTTTATTGTAATATCAGTTTGATTGATAAGTGACAGCTGTTGATAAGTGACTCTGCAACTACATATTCATGGTCATTAGAGTATTAGTATGTCTGCTACTGTAAATATATGCTAACACTTTATTTTGATGGTCAACCAACAGATAAACTGACTATAAGTGTCTTTGCAAGTACGTCAACTTATTCTACCATACTAGATTCTACCATTCTTGAGCATACTAATACTCTAATGAGAGTTAGTTGGCATGTAGTTGCAAAGTTGCTTATAGTCGATTGATTAAGGGGACCATCAAAATAAAATGTAACCATATAAAACATTGCATTTTTTTCAGTTGGAGTATTAAGCTCACATCAATTAATTAACATAAGCTCCACAGGAAACACTCAAATAACTCTCAACATCTAACCACTCACAAGCTGTAGTAAGATACTGTGCAGATCTTAAATAAACAATGTCAAGATATGATACAGTCCATTATTCTGTAAATTAAGTAGATTTAATACGGCGTTCATTGTGTGTTATAAATAATCATACTCTTAAACTTATAACCACAAATACATAAGAATTATGATGTATTATAACTGTTGTTATGATTATTGTTATGGGGCTGACGAGACGTGAGACGTGCTGATCCAAGTGCAAAGCTTTATTAATAGACATGGTAGAGACAGGCAAGGGTCAGATAATGGCAACAGGTATGCAGAAGGCAAGACACAAGAATATATCCTAGGGCTAGCGTGGGTCTACGATCGGCGAACAGGATCAATAGGGCGAGACTAGAGGGAGAAGGCCAGCTACAAGGCATGGTCCAGGCAGGGGCAAACAGTATCAGAATAGGACAAGACGAGAGGGGGAATCCGAGATACACAGGCGAAGAAAAGGACACGAGGAAACAGACAAGGCAAGACTAAGCTAAGGCTAAGAAAAGTAAACAGGCTCCGTAGAGTAACTATCGCTAAGAGAGTGATAAATGCTTTACAATACTCGGCAGCTTGACGGGGATAAGAGTGAGTGTTAACAGCTGTGTGCAATCAGTGCTGTGTGCAATCAACTGTGTGTGTGTAATCAGTGCAATGGATACAGAGTCCATAGTAGTGGAAGGGTGACCTCTGGTGGCGAGCAGACGGAAGTTCATGGACCGGATTCGTGACAATTATTCATGAGTTGATATAACATATTATAATTTTTTTTATAATGCATTATGCATTCATTATAATGCCTTAAGAATACCCTTATAATGTATTATAAATACGGGCTTCATAAAAAGTGTTACCATAATTTCAAGTTGTTTCCAAGAATCAGTCTGTACATATAAGTGCAAATAAAATACATAAATAAACCCTCATAAAAGCAGATATGATAAAAAAA